GCAGTGAAAATGTGAAGCAGACCAAACCACATAGGCATGAGATTTCCATGGTTCAAGACCTCGGTGCCTTCCGCCGTGCCCTTAAAACTTTCTTTTTCAGCAAGCCGGGATGGCTTAACGTATTTTTTAACGTACTTTTAATTTTTAATTGGTTTGTTATCTTAAATTGGGGCCAAATTAATATATATCCTTTTAATTGTTTTTAATGTTTTTATTGTATGTTTTTATCTGGCTCTACACCGCCCTGAGTCCCTCGGGAGAAGGTGCGGTATATAAATTCGAAATAAAATAAAAAAATAAATAAAAATACATTTCCTTTTAACTAATTCAAGCATGTATTATTACTGAGGGATCTCTTGTACTCTCTGAGCTTGCTTGTTTTCTTGCAGATGGTTCATTACCCAAACTAGCTACCATCATCAGTGCTAGTAAGGAACTGTTTGCTGTCAATTGTGTTATGACTATACTCCAATGTAAATAAACAGTTTGAATATTAAATTCCACCCATGTTCTCTTCCTTGATTGATAATGCTATTTTCCCTGAGCCTGGGATAAGCTTCCGTATGGTATAAAGTTAATTACGATCTCCTGTTGATTGTATCAGCTGCTCATTGAGCAATAGGTCTTTTCAGACTGAGGTGTCATCTGCTACTGTGAGCCAAGGAGCTGCTTCTACTTAGCATTCATGAATGATGCTTATTGATGAAAACCAAAACTCAACCCACCTCTTCCCACTCCCTTTGGCTTTCTGTCCTTAGAAGTGGCAAAAATGAAATTGTACACTGTAACTCAAAAGAATGAGCCTTCATGTTGGTATCCCTGCTTCTCTGGAATTGCTTAGCCCAGTGTTTCTCAACCTTGACCACTTTAAGCTGTGTGGACTTCAACTCCCAGAATTCCCCAGCCAATCATTCTGGGAGTGGAAGTTCATACAGCTTAAAGTGGCCAAGGTTAAGAAACACTGGCTGAGTCCAAGGAATAACGACAACCCAGCCCTATCAGTGTTTCAGAGGGCCATGGAGATGTAGCAATGGTGGGTTGCCCCCGGTTCAGACCGGTTCTATAGAACCAGTAGTAAAACCAGCGGGACGCTCCACCCACCAACCCCAACGTCATCAGAACGCTTCTGCGCAGGCGCAGAAGAGTGCACGTGGACGCGAGCGAAGCGAGATAGTCCTAGATCAGTGATGGCTAACCTTTTTGCCATCGCATGCCAGGAGAGGTTCGCGCACACGTGTGCCCACACCCATAATTCTATGCCCTGCCCTGCGCATCCACGCGCAATCCCGCTCCCCCCCCCCCCCCCCGCTCCTGACCTGCGATGGCCCAGTAGGCCTGTTTTTCTTTCTCACCTGGCTCCAGATCCTCTCTATGTATCTGGGAAGGGCGAAAACAGCCTTTCCCACTCCCTCAGAGGCCCTCCAGAGACCTGAAACGGCCCATTTCCCAACTCCTGGTGGGACAGGAAATGACGTTTTTTGCTGTCCCCAGCCTCCAGAGCCTCTCTAGGAGTCTCTGAAGGCTGGGGACAGCAAAAAACGTCACTGTTTCACTACTTCTAGTGGGCCCAGAAGGCCTGAAAATCAGCTGGCCGGCACTCGCATGCACGCCAGAGCTGAGCTGGTGTGCCCACTGATATAGCTACGCGTGCCACCTGTGGCACACGTGCCATAGGTTCGCCATCATGGTCCTCGATGTTGTAAGTCAAGAACTACTTGACTTACAACACTTCATTTAGTAACCAAAGTTACAATGGCACTGAAAAAAATGGACTTATGGTGGTTTTTCACACTTACAATCATTGCAGCATCCCCATGGTCATGTGATCAAAATTTGGACGCTTGGCAACTGACTCCTATTTATAACAGTTGTTGTATTCCGAGGTCACCTGATCCCCTTTTGCGACCTTCTGACAAGCAAAATCAATGGGGCAGTCAGATTCACTGAACAACCGTATTGCTAACTTAAGAACTGCAGTGATTCACTTAACAACGGTGGCAGGAAAGGCTGTAAAAAGAGATAAAACTCATTTAGCATCTGTCTCACTTAGCAACAGAAATTTCGAGCTCAAACTGTGGTCCTAAGTCGAGGACTAGCTGTAATGAAGAAGGAAGTTGCAATGTTACAAAACGTCAAGACATGGCGGTGATTTTTCAGCCACGCTTATCCGTAATAAGATCTAGATCTCGTGTCATTTCACCATTACAACTATGGGCTAGTCATTCTTTCTCAGCCCTAACTTTCCTCCCGAGGTTGCTGGAAATATCCATAAGTCTGGCTTCTGACAGGAAATGCGGGGTCAAAAGTCATATATGATCAGCTCAGTTATGCATTTCTTCACTTATAATTATATGATTGTACAGATCCAGACAGGCTGGAAAACGTCCACTTTTGGAGGCCAGGCATAACTGAAATATTTGAAGTAAAACACAAAAATATTGTCTAAACTTCTGATCCCTTTTAAGCTTGAGGCACAGGTTGAATGATCCCTCACCTCCCCAACTCCTAGCATCAGTAATGATGTAATCTTGAAATTCCGCATGTGCTAATTATATTGATTTGTGTGAAATAGCTTAATGACATGCAAAGCAGGCAAAACATATTTAAACTTCTCTAAATTGAATTGCTTTGGTTTGCAGATGTTATAATAATGTCATAGTATGTATGTTTTGGTTGTACTTTGTTTAGAAAGTTAAGAGTCCCCGCACCCATTAGATTAGGCTTCCTAGAGAGAGCATAGAATATGTTCCATTCTAACTGTAAAAAAATCCCTAACTTCACAGGCAGACACTGTACATTGTCCATCTTCTGTAATCATATCTTTCGAACTGGAAATTTTAGGAATTAAGAGATTCTGGGGAAAAATGTGTATTCTACAGCTCAGCCCATTACAGCAGGAATGGACAATGTAAGGACATCCATGCAGACCCCGCCCCATTTCATAGTCACTAAAGCCTTCTAAACGCACAGCATGGAATTTGTCAAATTTGCCATTTTTAGATGGCATAATTTTTTTTTTTTTGGTAGGTTTATCAAGCAGCCCCAGATTCTCTAGCACAACTGAAATATTGCTCTACTCCAGGGGTGTCAAGGCCCGCAGGCTGGATCTGACCTGCAGGGTACTTAGATCTGGCCTACAGGGCCACCTTGGAAACAGCAAAGGATCGGCCAGCGGTGCCTCTGCCAGATAAAATGGAGCTCGTGAGGCTCACATGTGTTCCCCCCCCCAGCTCCATTTTTGCTGGCAGAGGGTGGCAGGAGGCCATTGCAGCCAAAAAAGGAGCCTGGGGGGGCCGTGCACTGCCCCCTCCCTCCCCCGAGCTCCATTTTTGCTGGCAGAGGGCGGCAGGAGGCTGTTGCCGCCAAAAATGGAGCTCAGGAGCCTGTTTTCACTGGCAGAGTGCTCGGGCCCCCACAGACAGCCCCGACACGAGTGACGTCAAGCTGCCCATGCCCACCCTGGCCATGCTCACCCCAGTCCCCGAGGTCAAACACAAACTTGTGCCTGTTGTGGCCCTCAATGAAATTGAGTTTGACATCCTCTGTCTTGATGATATATACCACAGCACTCCCCATGCTCCTTCAGCCCTCCAAAATGAAATGATGTCTATACGTATATGTGCATATGTGTGTTTGTAGCTGTTTACTATCCTTGCTATAGATAATAGCCATCTATGTGGCGGGCCAAAGGAATATAAGTAAAGCCTATAATTCGATGGCTGTAGAAGTTTCTTTCCTAAACTCAAACCAAGACAGAAATCCAGAACCCAAATTGTAACATTGTTCTCTGTTCTAGAGACCATTATATGAAAAAATTGCTCCAGAATCTTTTTTTTTTTTAATGTAGCACAGTGTAAATTTAAATTACATTTATTACCTTCTGATGTGTGTATATGTAAAACGAAATTAATCACTTTTGAAAATTGTGATTCAGGGAAATTCCCAGTATTTTCTCATGTTCTGTTAATGTAGGACTTGTTTTTCTACAATATTGTGGTTTTTAACAGGTAGTGAATAACCACAATATAGAATTTGGAATTTAATTTGTTCTGGAACAGTGAAATGCTAAATCTTGCTGAGAAAACTTTGGGATGGTTGTACTGTATATACAGATAGTCCTTGAGTTATGACCACAATTGAGCCCAAAATGTATGAAACATTTGCTAAGTGAATTTTGCCCTATTTTACGACCTTTCTTGCCACAGTTGTTAAGTGAATCATTGCAGTAGTTAAGTTAGTAATATGGTTGTTAAGTGAATCTGGCTTCCCCATTGATTTTGCTTGTCAGAAGTTCGTAAAAGGGGATCACATGACCCGAAGACACTGCAACTGTCATAAATACAAGTCAGTTGCCAAGCATCTGAATTTTGATCCTGTGACCGTGGGGATGCTGCAATAGTAGTGTGAAAAACGGTCATAAGTCACTTTTTTCAGGGCCATTGTAACTAAATGAATTGTTGTTAAGTCAAGGACTACCTTTCTACTTGTGGTAACACATCATTATGTAGGCACAGATAATTAGGAAGAAGGATTTAGGGATCTGATCCTCCATTTAACCCCTTCCCAGAAAACACTATCCATATTTTGCCATAGAAATATGTTGTATTTGGTACTTCTGTTTAGCATTTTTTGAATGCATTATGTCTAAAATAAAAGAGAGGGGAACTATTGCAAAATAAGGTGATAAGAATTCTAGAGGGATAGACTGTCAGAAGCAGCAGGAGGGATACTATAATTCTGCTTTCCTGAGCAGAAAAAAAAATGCAAAATAGAAATCCCAAAATGCAAAGACTCAAGTCTTTTCCTTCTCCAATATCGTAGTTATCTGCAAAAGTTTTTTTTTTCCTCATAAACTCACACACATACACATATGGCATCATGTTCTTAGCCAATTAACAGACTGATTACCCACTTTAACCCATCCTAGTGTTTTCACAAAGTGCATAGGACAACAGAAATAGAATAATATCAAATTCTGGTTTATTTCACCCATATAAAAATAATACATAAATAACTTAAATTTCACAGGACAAAGATCAGTGCTACTTTCAGGTTAGCAAATGAATAGAAATGTTTATAAAACATTTTTTTATAATTTTATGCCTTTTCTCTTCAATGTGAAGATGAGACAAATTCCATAGGAATTATATATGTAATATATAATTATATAAATATGTATCTTCAGCCAGCAAACATATATATATATATATATTAGGCAATTTTTCTTAGCAGCTTTATAAAAGCATAGATATCCCCACAAAAACCCCCCCACAGTTTTTCTCTCTTTCACACCGTTTGTGTCATTACACTCAAATCCCAAAGTATAAATATTAACATCTTATAAATATATTTGCATAAATAAGTTCAGTGCAAATTTTCTCCCTTTGTTTTCACGTCAGAGTTTCCCAATATTGACTCCGGGAAGGATAAGGTGAAAGATGAGGATCGAAATTAATCTTGGATGCCTTTGACTTGGTTTGGCTTCACAGCGTGACTAAGAGTTCCAAATAAGCGGTCCCAGTGCGTAAAGTAAGGTGCATAGTTGAACTTGAACTTCAGGTGGTGGAGATCATGGTGAGGAGCTCCTCCATACAGGCCAAAAGGCACCAGTCGGTGGGTTGACCAAGGCAGGTCATAGCCAGAATGATCTTCTACTGACAACCAGATGTTGGCCGTGAAGAATGTCATTTCCGTCAACGGATGACACCTCAACAGCATTGGACCAACGACAGCAAAGAAACCCAGCCAGAGCAGCTCCCAAACGCTGGCGTACTGTGTGGTCAGAGCAAAAGTAGAGATGTGTTTGTGGTGGATCTTGTGGAAGTTTTTGTAGAGCCATGGCACCTTGTGGTGGAGCAAATGCCACAAAAAGGACAAGAAGTCGAACAGCAGCAGGCAAACAGCGACCTGCAGAAGAAGCGCTGGTACCTCGGGAGCGATGCTCGGCAGGCTCACCGGTCTCCAGTACCAATGCGCAACAGTCACTGGGAAGATGCACACGATGTGGTGATAGATGCTCTGAGCCAGGCAAAGACTCACCATCTGCGGTGTAGGCGAGGCCTGCGGTTGGATTTTATACTTCCTCAAGACGGAGATCCAAGGGCTTAACAGATCCAGAGCGATGAAAGGCAAGCAGAAAGCGGTATAGATTGCAAAATTGAACAGCACCGGGAAGAACGGAGACTTGATCAAGTCCTCCCGCCTTCGGACAAAGTCCCAGAGTGGCTGTAGAGCCGGCACGTTCGGCAAGTCATCCGGCTGGTTACAAAAAAGCAGCGTGCTTCCGTTGTGGTGTGTGCTGATTTCCATTGCAGCCGGAGCCGTCGCTGTGCCTGTTTGTATACTGGAGCTGTTCTTATGCCCGGAGCCCTTTTTATTCTACTCCCGCGGGTGACGTAACGAAAAGAAAACTTCCCGCAAGTAATCAGTTCAGTTCCTTTTTCCTCTTGAAGAAAACGTATCGGGAGGGACGCGGGTGAGGAAATTCCCTTCTCTTCTTCCAAATGTTTATCCTTGGATGAGCTGTCCTTTGCCCTGACACTTTTTTTTTTTTTTTTTTGTTACAACAGATTGGATTTCGGAGCTGGAAAGCAGGCAGAGAAAGGATGGCATAGGAATGGCACTGAAAAGAATTATGTTAATGGCATTTAGTCCAGAAGAGAAATGGGGAGTTAAAGATCACAATCTAGCTTTATGATAATTATGTGTATTTTCTTTTTCTTTTTTTAAAGAATACTTTTATTCTTTAAAATACTTTGAGAAGAGTCCTCCATTCCTCTAACCGCAATAAAATACCTTATGCCACCAGACTTCAAATTTTGGACAACTTAGAACTACGCCGACTTCGGTTTGACCTAAGTGTAGTACATTCCTACCTGTCAATGACTAATTCAGCTTCAACCACAACAATACACGAGCAAATAATAGATACAAACTCAAGGTAAACCGCTCCAAACTCGATTGCAGAAAATATGACTTCAGTAACAGAGTGGTCAATGCCTGGAATGCACTACCTGACTCTGTGGTTTCTTCCCCCAAACCCCAAAACTTTAACCTTAAACTGTCTACTGTTGACCTCATCCCATTCCTAAGAGGTCTGTAAGGGGTGTGCAAAAGTGCACCAGCGTGCCTACCGTCCCTGTCCTAATATTTCTTTTTACTCTTACTCTTTTCATGTATTCAAATTATGTTTATACTTTTACCTGTTATCGTATATATGCTTGACAAATAAATAAAATAAACAAATAAAAATAAATAGATAAATAAATAAACCATCTGAATACTTCTGCTTTGGTTTCTGAGGAGGATTAAAGGTAAAGGTAAAAGTTCACCTCACACATATGTGTGAGGTGAACTTTTACCTTTACAATCCTCCTCATATGTGTTAGTTGTTCCTAACTCTAGGGGGCAGTGCTCATCTCCATTTCAAAGCCAAAGACTCAGCGCTATCCGAAGACGTCTCCATAGTCATATGGCCAGCATGACTAAATGCCAAAGGCACACAGAATGCTGTTATCTTCCCACCAAAGGTGATCCCTATTTTTCTACTTGCATTTTTTACGTGCTTTCGAACTGCTAGGTTGGCAGAAGCTGGGACAAGTAACGGGAGTTCACCCGTTAGCTCCCTGCCGACCTTTTGATCGACAAGGTCAGTGTCTTAGCCACTGAGTCAGCGTGTCCCGCTGAGGAGGATTACATGGTGTTAAAAGGCTGAGAAGCAAAGGCATTTAAAGCAGAAAGTGGCATTCTGGAAGCAGAGTCAAAACAAATTTATAGGCATTTTTCAACTGTCAATTTAATAAGCGGCCGGGTTTGATGAGCACTGCCAATGGAGATCACACTTTAATTCTCATCTTGTAATGTGTCATTTCAGAAGTTTTGAAAACATGACATGGGAGAAGGGGGGGGAAGATTCACTGGAAAATTCTTATAGATTAGATAGGATGCCACCTTCAGGGTTCCAGCCTATGTTTTTGTTATTGTATAAAATGAATGAAAGTATTGCTGGCTAACAACAACGAGATGGAGTGGGGTTATCATTCTGACCTTGAATTTCAGGTAGCTTTCAAGGTTCATCCATTCATCTTGGTTACCACAGTATGAGTTATCAATGATTTGGCAAGGTATGTGCTCACATTGGAGTCTCTACCTTGTCATCAGAGCACTCTGAGGCAGGCTGAAGTCAGACTAAGGCTAACCCATATTTTCCATCCTCTATCAGAAGGTGCACGTGTTAGAATGTAGAATACAAGACTGCCCCATTCCTGGAGAGAGAACGGCCATTTTGGTTGGGGTTGCAATGGGGCTGGACACCTCACTGATATGGTTTCATGTGGTTTGTTATTGTTTGGGCCTGAGGATCTTGATCTCATGGAAGGAGAGGTTGATCATGGTGGGAAGCTTGTGGAACTCCCACACGTCCCCATCAATCATTATTTGATTGCAGTACTTTCCATGCTCTGAAAACCACATCTTTTTATTTTTCCAGTTTCTTATCTAGGAACATTCAAAGGGCAACATTCCTATGGCAAAACATCTTAAAAATCCATGAGGTTTCCACTGACAGTAAAAGTAATGGGTTGTTCTAATAGCTGAACTTGGTTTGAGGTTGGTTGTCAGTGGTGATAGTGATACAGGCACTCCGAACTGAGAGCAGTTACTATCTTGAAAGTAACTCACATTACTTTCCACAAGGACAACAACAAACCTTGTGGTTGAAATGTGGAGAAAAGCAGATTGCAATGAAGTTCTTCTCAACTGGGACTCATCACAATGAGACATTAGGACAACTTATTCTGGAAAACAGAATAAAAACAGAACAGAACAGAACAGAACAGTGAACACCCCAACTCAGATGTCTCACCCTGAACATCAAAACTGAAGCTTTCCTGGTCATCTGGAAAGAGAAGATGCCACTGCTAGCACTTCAGGCAGTCTTCATGCCATGGTGGTTTGATTCTCAGGATCCCTTTAAGAATGAAAAGATCCTTAGGGCTCACATTGTTCTTTCCCTAAAACAGTGGTCACCAACTGGTGGTCTGTGGACTACTGGTGGTCCGTAAGAAAATTTTAGTGATCCGCAGAAAAATTATTTGCATTTTTTATATTGCACTAAATACTATTTATCTTTTTAAAAATCCATATTAGTGGTCTGCGGGATTTAAAATTATGAATTTGGTGGTCCCTGAGGTCCGAAAGGTTGGTGACCCCTGCCCTAAAAGATGGGCTGAGGATCAGCCATACATAATTTCAGCAAAATGCCATTTTTATTTTCAGGGGGCAAATAACATTCATTTAACATCCCTAATATTGTTTCAATACTGAGCCATGTTAATATCTGTCTGTCTAACACAGGGGTGTCAAACTCAGGGCCCTTGGGCCAGATACGGCCCATGGGGTGCTTAGATCAGGCCTAAGGGGCCACCCTGGAAATAGCAAAGGACCACCACAAGGCCCTCCTGGGCTCCGTTTTTGCTGGCAGAGGGTTTCAGGAGGCTGTCAGAGCCGGAAATGGAGCTCAGGAACCCGTTTTCCCTGGCAGAGCACTTGGGCCACCATAGGCGCCCCCAACACGAGTGATGTCGAGCAGGCCACACACACACAAACGAGGTCAAACACAACCCTGATGCAGTCCTCAATGAAATCGAGTTTGACACCCCTGGTCTAACAGAATAACAGAACTATTATTCTGTCTCTTTATCTATCAATCTCTGCATTGGGGTTATTAATCATATCTTGGCTGATTATTATCTATTCTGGAACATTAAGCACTTAGCACTTTTATTATGACTCAATAATCTGTGGACTTGTTTCCAGTTCATAAAATATTATACGCAAGCATAAATAAATACCAAATGTGGGTGAGAGGGTGGGTTTGGAAACTGCAAGATCGAAGGAAAATGATACATAAAAGGGGCAAGCAGTAATAATTACTTAATTAAACCTAGCCTTTAAAGTTGTTCTTTGGTAATGTTAGAAACGCGTTTATCAGTCACGAACTGATTAACATGTCCAACGTGACTTGAGGAGGCACGCAATTTTGTTCAAGTCACAGGAAATAATTGAATATCCTGATGAGACACGGTTACATTGGTTTTGCAATCTATCTTTCAAATCCATCACGTTAGGTTTGTCACTTAATCTCACAACATGATGTTGCACAACCACAAGAACATCCATAAGATCTGTTTCCTTGAGCTGGCCAGCAACCCACTTGGGGGCCACTCGAGGAGGGATGGTCCAATTCTGGAAGCAACCAACATTTCACCCATTCCTGATCTTCATGTTATCATGTCCGCTTCATGTGACAGAGGAAGAAGGCAAAACAGTCACCCTCAAGAAGCATCAACATTGCTCTTCTGTTTGGCCTAAAGAAGACAAGATAGCAAAGGACAAAACAGTAGAATGTCTTGGCTTGGGATAGGAGGAAGAATCCTTGTAGATATGAACATTAATTGCATGTATTATATTTTATATTTATGGCAGGGTATTTTTCCTCTTCCCTTTATTATAGGAAGGAAGGAAGGAAGGAAGGAAGGAAGGAAGGAAGGAAGGAAGGAAGGGGGAGAGGGAGGAGGAGGAAAGGAAGGAAGAAAGGAAAAAGGAAGGAAAGAAGGAAAGAATAAAGGGAGGAAGGGAGGGAGAGAGGAAAAAGGGAGGGACGGAAGGAAATAAAAAGGGAGGGAGGGAAGGAAGAAAGGAAGGAAGGAAGGAAAGAAGAAAGGAAAGAAAAAAGGGAGGGAGGAAAAAGGGAGGGAAGGAAGGAAATAAATGGGAGGGAGGGAAGGAAGGAAGGAAGGAAGGAAGGGGGAGAGGGAGGAGGAAGAAAGGAAGGAAGGAAAGAAAAAAGGGAGGGAGGGAGGAAAAAGGGAGGGAAGGAAGGAATAAAAAGGGAGGGAGGGAGGAAAAAGGGTGGGAAGGAAGGAATAAAAAGGGAGGGAAGGAGGGAGGAAAAAGGGAGGGAAGGAAGGAAATAAAAAGGGATGGAGGGAGGGAGGGAGGGAGGGAGGGAGGGAGGGAGGGAAGGAAGGAAGGAAGGAAGGAAGGAAGGAAGGAAGGAAGGAAGGAAGGAAGGAAGGAAGGAAATATAAGAGAGCCAGAATGATCTAATGGTTAAGGCATCAGGCTGGGTGACCATCAATTCTAGTCCTGCCTTAGGCATGAAGCCAACTGGGTGACCTTGGGCCAGTCACTCTCTCCCAGCACTAAGAAGCAGGCAATGGCAAACATCTCTTGAAATGAAATCTTGCCAAGCAATTTCAGGGTCTTGTCCAAGCAATTGCCAGGAGTCAACACCAACTTGAAGGATCATTATCATCAAGTACATAAAGAACCACCCCAACGCTTATTTTCTCTGTCTGTTAATGTTCTTTGGAAAATGAAACGCACAACAGCAATATCAAACAAATATCACTCTGCCCGCTGATTTTAAAGATTTGACTTCTAATTTCAGCCTCGCCATAATTTTTTTACACTTATCAATGACTCAAGGGCATAAATTCTGACAAAATCAATCTGTTGCCATACTCCACAGCTACAGGTACATGTAAAAAGGTAGGTAAATTACTAGGTGCAGGAAATCACACTGCATCATTCATGTCATGGAGGAAAAAAATTAGCTATTTGCTCCATCTACTGGCTACAGATACAGATGCAAGACTTCAGATTTTAATTCTTGCCCTTGGAATTCAACAATCATAGATATGGAAAGGACCATCAAGTCCACACAGTTCTGCTTAGTGCAGGCATCCCAATTAAAGCTGTTCCTTGACTGGTGGATTGCCCAGCCTTGTCCGATGACAAGGTTATTTCCTTAACAGCTGAAGCCGTCTTCCTATAATTTAATGTTATGATTTCATGGACTAACTTTTGGAGTAACGGGACAGGCAATTCTATGTCGCCCTCCTGGGGTACTTGAAAAGTGTGAGCAAGTCTTCTTTCGAATTTGCCATGACAGCTTCTTCCATCTCTCTTGAAAATATTTCATTTTTAAATTTTTGATCATTCTCATTTGTTGTTCTGTGAACTAAGCTTAAGGGGCAATAAATAAGGGGCATTTTGCTTTCAGTTGAAGAGACTATTATTCAGCATTGAATCGAGGAGTTCTTGGCGCTCTTTAAGATTGATTGTATGCCTACAGAGATTTCATTAGCCAATTAGGTAAGACCATTAGTGCAAGAGCTCAGAGGACACCGACATTTCCAGAACCCAATGCTTTAAAAAAAAAAAAAAAAAAAGATATTCTGGTTTGCCTGTCCTGAATGCAGATATCTTGTTAATTTTCTCTGTTCTGTGAGAAAGACAATAAAAACAAATTATTTAACATTCTGTTCTCTTTAACCCAGGGGTGAAATCTAAAAATTTTCCCTACCGGTTCTGTGGGTGTGGCTTGGTGGTCAGGTGACCTGGTGGGCGTGGCTTGGTGGTCAGGTGACCCGGTGGGCGTGGCCAATAATAATAAATAATAAAAATAATAAACAAAATAAACAAAACAATAAGAGGTACCAAAAACCAACTTTTACACTTTACGCACATACAACACAACACAACACAACACAACTGACTCACACACAATCCAAAAGCAGCTGCACTTGACCCAAAATGGCCCCTGCAACAAGCAGGAACCTCACACAGCCACAAAAAGCTCAAAAACCAACTTTCACACTTTTTCCACACAAAATGCCACATACAGTTACTTACCAAATTGAAGGCACAAGGCAGGCAGGCAGGCAGATTGAGTTGCTCCCCGATTGGATTGATTGCAGGCAGGCAGATTGAGTTGCTAGCGGATGCAATTGATTGCAGCACCGAAGCAAGGCAGGAAAAGTGAGCGAGCCTGAAAGAAGTAGCAAGCTGCCAAGTGGGCAAGTGGGGACCGGGCGATTGGGTGGGCATGGGCGGGGGGGCAGGGATTTTTGCTACCGGTTCTCTGAACTACCAACTGCCATTGCTACCGGATTGCCTGATCCGGTCCGAACCTGGAGCATTTTACCCCTTCTTTAACTACATAACCCTGCTACAGATTTTGTGCTTCTCCTATTTAATAATGGTTGCAAGGCTGCCATTAGTTTTCAGCAGCTGTAGTTGGAAAGGACTCTGGGTAACGCAAAAAATAATTTAGAGGTCATATGTTTCCAATGTTATAAGGTTGCTGACTTTATCAAATACTCCAAAGGTTGTGATTGGTTTATTTCTTTTCTGCCCCACTTATAAATGTTACAGAAATATCTGGTTTATCAATTGTGCAAATAGAACTCTAGAAAAAAATGACCCATTCAAACCCTCATAACTGTTTACCAGAGATAGTATATCAACATGACTTGTCAATTGCTCATGTCCCTGTTGTGTTTTCATTAGCAATAGCAATAGCACTTAGACTTATGTACCGCTTCATAGTGCCTTACAGCCCCCTCTAAGCGGTTTACAGAGTCAGCCTCTTGCCCCCAACAATCTGGGTCCTCATTTTACCCACCTCAGAAAGATGGAAGGCTGAGTCAACCTTGAGCCTGGTAAGATTCGATCTGCCAAACTGCTGACAGCCGGTGATCAGCAGAAGTAGCCTGCAGTACTGCACTCTAACTACTGTGCCATCGCGGCTCTCATTAAATTTACATTCGAACATACAGTAGAATTTCATGTGTTCAATAATTATGAAAATGGTTGCATCATTTTCAATTTAAATTTAGAAAAGAAGAGTCATGATTTAGGACTAAACTTTGGTTAATCTGGCCTGAAGGTATAAGGTGCACCAAAGTCACCAAATCTATAATTTGGAAGGCGACTGGAGAACTCCACACAGCTCTGTCCTTTGAACATTTTAATTTCACCCGTAAACCTTTCCCAAAATCTCACTCTACAGAAATGGGTTGGAAATGTTGGCCTATTAGCTTTTTTTTTTTACATTTCTCTTCAAATCTTATCCCTCCAAATGGCCAAAAATATAATTAGCCTCATCTGATCAAGGATGACCGTGGAAAAATAACTTCTTTAAAAAGAAAAATAGTGTCTAGGCAGGCAGGCAGGAATCCACTCTGTTTGATGAATTGGGGAGAAAACTGTTTTTAAGGATGAGAATTCTCAAAACTAAAAAAAAAGTAAGTATAAAATGCTCTGGCCATGTATTGCAGCACCCTCTTGTGACAAAATAAATATTTGACTATAATTTAATCAAGCTGTTCTTGAATTTTGCCCAAAATAAGGAAGGTGGCAGCACAACATGGCTAATTAGGATTAAAAACCAGAAAGATGTGTATTGGTTTATTTGATTGCCAGTTCCGTAATCTACATTGCTTTGTGGAAAAATAATGCAAAATGTGTTCTCAGAAATGTACCACTTTTCCTTGCTACCACTTCAGATCATTTTTTACATACAGTATTGCAAATGAACACACTATTGCACATTGCAATTTTACTTTGTTCGCTATCATTAATTTTTTTTGTAACAGGATGTATATTGCAATAGTCTGGGTTTTTTTCTACTCTCCCACTGACCCCATAGTAATAAGCACTATAGATCCACTCCCGGCTAGTAAGAAACAATTAAAAGTCACCAATATGAAAGGATAAAATCATGAAAAGCATGTTTTAAAAATAGCATTACAAAGAATCAGATCAGCAGGTTGGAGTACAATTTCTCATCCGCTTTTTAAAAAGCATATTCCCATGTGGTACACTAGGGAATTTTGGACCAGCGTGGTAGAGAAAATGGACTTGGAGACTTTCCTCCTTCTTTTTTGGATATGATCAGGGTCAAATCCAGTTCATGTCTTTTCCTGCTTCTACCGTGTTTCCCCAAAATAAGACCCTGTCTCATATTTTTTTGAATCCTGAAATAAGCGTTTGGCCTTATTTTGGGGGCGGGGGTCTTATTATTTTGGGGGGCATGGAGCAAGACGGGGATCCTCTTGCTGTCTTACCTCATTTCCAGCTCTGTCTCGCTAACCATAACCAGAGGAAATGGCGGGGACCGGCTGCGCGTGCATTTAAATATTTTCAGGGAGGGCTTATTTTTGGGAGAGGGTTTTTTCGGGGGAGGGCTTATTATCCAGGGAGGTCTTATTTTGGGGAAAACATGGGATCAGATCAGATCATAACTGCTCTCTGTTCCAGACAGAGCATGGCTGCAATTCCATCTAAATCCCCCCAAAACACTAGCCTCCTCTTCAGCTCACAGCACAATGCAAGGCAACACTTAAAAAGGAGGTTGCAATCTAGTGAAACTCCAAACCTTCTATCAGCTGATGAACTCTGCATTCCATCTCTTTCACAATGAACTTCCCCCGGTGTCTCCTGAAAGATTCATTTTGCCTAAAAATAGAACTAACCCCTGGTACATTGACAAGGATCTGCCCAGCATCTTCAAACTGGCCAGCGAATTGGATCGCTAGGATTTCCCACATTGCAACCTTCCATGTCTATAAAACCCTTTATTTTTTCCATTGTTCGGGGTCCCTCTTTCTTGTGAAGCAGGCACCCAATGATCGTTGCAGTAAACATGGATCTTCTCCTCAATGTTCTGCTATTTCTTCAGGCTGAATCAGGGGTGAAATGCTACCGGTTCGGACCGGTTCAACTGAACCGGTAGTGATGGCGGTGGGTGGTTCAGAGAACTGGTAGCGACGGCAGCTTGAGGTTCCGCCCACCAGCTCAGTCATTGTTACTTCCTGGTTTTAACCAGGAAGTAACCTGTTTTTTACCCTCTGTGCATGCACTTCCGAACTGGTAGAAAAGGTAAGTAGATTTCACCCCTGGGCTGAATCCGTGACACAAAATGTTTCCTAGGGAGGTGGAGCTTGACAAACGACACCCAGTCAAAAGCAAGAGAGCCATTTATCCAAAGTCACATGAGGTGGAGGGATGAGATTTTTCCCTCTCCCACCCTTCTCGCGTCCAGAGTTTCCTGACATCTCACTTTACCTTTGTACTGTATTCCTTCCAACTCAGCAGAGAACATTGTCTAGCACTGTAATCACAGCTGGGTGGGTACCAGTGAACATTGTATTGTCATTCCTGCTGACTAAACAGTTTTAATTGCCCCAATTTCAGCTTCTTTTTCACAAGGGAGATTTAAAGTTTCATTTTGATTTTTTTTTTTTAACACAGTAAAATAGTGGCTGTCAGGAAGCAAGAATGTGCAAGAATTGCAATGTGGGAATTGCAGCTAATAGGAAATACCCATTTGTGCTACATTCTCTGAACACACAATTTACCTTTTCTTATATAAAGGCAGCCCCTGATGTATGACTGGTTGGTCAGCAACCATTTGAAATTCCAATGGACCTACCTGGTGTGTGTGTGTGTGTGTTTATGACCTGGATTTGAAGATCTGAAGGTCGACACCCCCCCCAATCATGTGACCACATTTCGGGCTCTTGGCAATCAGGCTGCATTTGCAGCCATTCACAGCATTCTGTGCTCGCATGATGGCGTTTTACAATGTTCGTGCCAAAACCTGATATTTACTTCCAGTTTTCAGCAAACCCTGCCCATAGCAAACCATGGGTTTGCTTAACAACCACAGCGTTCACTTAATGACTATGGCAATTGCTTCACGGATGTGCTTTTTGCTCAATGACCACTGCAAAAAAAGGTCATAAAATTGGGTTAGTCATGTGTCCAATCTGCTTTCTGACCATCACGAGTTCCGGCAGACCCCATTACAGTCATAACTCAAGGAACAGAATGGAATGGGGGGAAAAAGATGACCATGGATTAAAGCCATCTTGTACCATCTCAGCCTTAGATCTGGTTTTTTTCCCTGTATCATGGAATGGGGCAAGAAACAGATTGCTGTTGGACACTTCCCTGGGCCCCTGCCATGTTCTGTCAACCCGCCTGATTTTATGTCGTAATACTATTTTAAACAGGAACTTGGCATGGTGTTAAACAAGCCACCAACTTCTAGCAGCAAGAATGCCTTTGGACCAGTGGTGGGATTCAAATAATTTAACAACCGGTTCTCTGCCCTAATGATTTCTTCCAACACCCAGTTCACCAAACTGCTCAGAAAGTTAACAACCGGTTCTCCCGAAGTGGTGCGAACAGGCTGAATCCCATCACTGCTTTGGGCCCTAGAGAAAAAAAAATGGAGGCTAATTGCAGTCAAGTGCTTCTTTAGCATTGTGCCCAAAGCTTGAGAAAACAAGTATGTCATTCAGGATACTGCTTATAAGCACTTATGTGCTTAGAGCTCAAAGCATTGTTAAAGACCCCACACACCCACTTCACGGTCTGTCTCTGTTGCTCCCCTCTGGGAGGAGGTTCCGAAGTATTTCTAGCAGGACTACCAGATTCTGTAATAGCTTTGTTCCCTATGCCATCCTTCTGGTAAACTCGCAAGATTCGTTTTTCTCGCCATGTACATCCGAACTAGACTGTGTTGTTTCTCTGTGTCATATATGTGGGTATACGCATAATTTTGTATTTATTTATTTATCTTGCCATGTTTATGTTTATATTAGAGGTGGAGACCCTTTGAGAGCTGTATGCAACGTAATTTCATTTTAATATATGCCGATTAGTGTACATTCAAAGTGGCAATCAAGTATTCTAAGTCTAAGATCAGGAAACCATAATGGAGTGTTTCTCAAACTTTTTTTTTTTCATTAACCAAAATTGCTTATCGGAAAGTCCTTTTTACCCAATGTAGATAATACACTTTATTTAAGTCAACTTAAAAGGCCCTGTTATGATTGGGTAATGGATTTGTTCTGTGCTACCCTAAGAACTACTTTTAACCAATTTTGGGTAATATATCCATGTTTGGTATACACTGCTATAGTGTGTTGACTTTCTTATTCTCTGTATATACAGTACCTGTGCAAGCACAATTTCTCACCAAGGAACTAACCAGGGTATGTGAATATGTGAAATCTTGGATCTGTGAAAATATAATCAGTATGGGAGTATATGGGTGACATCTGTGTGTGAGAGAACTTAATTTAATTGGGTTGTCTTGCTTTAACATCAGGCTAAAAATCAGAGATTATAGTCATATTTGTGAATTGCCACTGTAAGAAAATGCTAACTCTAAGAACACCTGCCTACCCTACAAGTGTAACATTTATCTAAATTATTAATTCACTTCCCAATTATGATCATGAACAATATGTCTTCAAATTCTAGTGTGGACATAACCTAAATTAGCCACAACTGTTAAAATTGGAATTAATTCTTTGTAGAGCCTGTTGGATATATTGCTAGTGTATGTAGTCTGTTAAATTAAATAGCAAGAAAGTAACTATGTTTTCACTAACCTTCCCCATTTACTGACACTCAACATTTCCACCCAGAATGTTGGCAGTTGAAAGTCTAAAATAGTATTTCTCAAAACTTTACAATGTGTGGATTTCAGCTTTCAGAATTCCCCAGCCAGCTCTGCTGGGGAATTCTGTTGGTCTAAAATATCTTGAGTTATTTTGGTCTTAAATACTAGTTTAGAATATCTTGAGGATACCATATGTCATTAATCTTATATCGTTTCCAAGCACACATCAAAATCTTGGTCATAAATTTGAAGGAACTTCTACCATGCCGAATATCCCCCGTGGAGTACTTAGCATTAATTTTAACCTAGCTTTATAAAACATTCTGTTAGGAAATGATTTTACCTAACTTGTTGGGTTGGCAATATATAAACCATCAATATAGCTTTAAGACTGCTGTATTGTATCATACTGTGTCCTGATTGGTTAGCTCTGTAGCCAATGTCCTTGAGAGGGAAGTAGAAACATGGCTTGTTTCTCTTTACTGCTCTTTGATGCTCTTTGCTGTTTGGTATTACCTCTGTGTTTGCTACTGTTTGCAACTGTTTATATGACTACAACGACTGGTAAGAATACTTTGTTATTGGGTTATCCCTGGACTATTGTTTTACTATCTACTACTTTATCTGTGTATGACCTGGACTGTTTATTGGACTATGCCTTATTACTATTTCCTGAAAGTAAACACAACTCAATGTATCTGTGTGTTGGCTGTTATTTCCTAACTACTCTCAATCGCTTTCATGCGCACACCCTTGCTACTCAAGGGTTGCTCTGCGAATTCCTCCACACATTCCTCACAGCCATAATTATACTTCTATGAGCAATCTCTTTTTCTCCCCATCTACCATCTTGGAAGTATTATTTAGACAATATGTCCTGCCTTTCTCTGCTTTATTTACATGATCAGGATCATTGACTTCAGCTTTCAAAAGAATTGGATTTATAATTGTTATAAGACAAAGACACACCAGGTCTTTTCTATTCAAAGATCTACCTCAACAGATGGCAGGACCAACTGGTCTTGGCTAATCTCAGAAATGAAACTGCCAATAACTATTTTGCTATCCCTATTCAGATGAGCGGCCCTGAGTCTTCGGAGAGGGGCAGCATATAAATTTAATTAATTAAATTAAATTACATTACATTAAATTAAATTAAATGAGCAATCACCTACCTGGAAATTCCATGGCTCCTACTCAATTGGGAAACCGGAAAACATTTCAATGAAAGGAAAGAATAAATCACTTCCATAATACTGGCAAAGAAATAGGATAGGTACAATCACCCAGAGTCAATAGCAATAGCACTTAGACCTATACACTCCTTCATAGTGCTATGAAGCACTAGTGCATAGTGCTTCATAGCACTCTCTAAGCGATTTACAGTTAGCATATCAAACTTTGACCTACAGATCTTTGTTCCTCTTTATACTCTATTTTTGTCGTAGCATTTCCCACCCCCTCCAAGTGTTTTTTCCCCCAGATCAGCCAAGTTTGAGCCATTGGTTGTACAAGAATTGACTGACCACCTTGTCACCTGAGCCTGAAGTCATGGCCTGAAAGAGACTGACCCAAAATCACCCGGTTGGCTTTTATACTTGAGGCAAGACTAGAACTTGATGTGCTCAATATTAAGTTTTCCATTAACAGATTGGATTGTCTGGGTCACGCTTACTTTGGTTGGGTTTGTCAGTCAGAAACTTGACAATATCATGTCCTGGAGATCTAAACATAACAGATAAAAGTCTTCAAATGTATGGTCAAGTCAGGTTTTCCATATGGTACCCTCTACAGAAGGTGAGTTGAGGTTCAGTGCCCATAATCTCCCAACTAGCATTTCATATGGCCAAGAATTGTAGGTTTGGAAGTCTGACACGCATAAGGACAGCTGGTTGGGAAAAACTTTATAAGTAGAATAAAATCTGCTATAATAAGATTAAAATTCCTTGTTTTGGATGTACTCTACTACAGGGGTGAAATGTAAAAATTTTTGCTACCGGTTCTGTGGGCGTGGCTTGATGGGCATGGCTTGGTGGTCATGTGACCGGGTGGGCATGGCCAAATTGACACCACTCACTGTTAGAGCCAGGAGCACATTCCCTCCCACTCCTTCCGCCAATCCTCCATACAAACCGCCCACCCCGTTTCTGCAAAGGCAGAGCCCCCTCCCCTGCAGGGCAATCCAAAGAGGGGAGGGGGATGCTGCAGAAAAGGCCGCCTTCCATCCGTGCCAGCTCTGCAGGGGTTGGGGCTCCAAAGCAGCCCACTGGATTCCCACTCAGCCACCTGCCTCCAGCGCCAGTCTGGGAACTTGGCCCGCGGAGTCCAGCACTCCAGGGGAAGGAGGCACAGCCACGGTGGTGCTTCCCGGCAGCGAAGAAGCAGAGTGAGAGGGGCGGAAGCCGCCGGTGGGGCACAACCCCCCCCCCACATGCAGGGAGAGGGCCAGGCCCAGCCACGCCACCACAGAGCCCGGGACGCTTTCCCTTCGGCCTGGCTGCACTTGTAGTCATGTGGCTGGCCGGAGCGGAGCATGGTGCGGGGGACAGGCATATGCAGCAAGAGGTGCGCCAGTGCCGCCTTGCCCGCCTTCCCCACGTCCATGTGCTGAGCATGGAAAGGGCAGCTGCTGCCGCTGCTCTCACCACCCTCCGTGCCCACCTGACTGCAGATTTCTGCCTGCCAGAAGCAACCTCCCAAAGTAACCCGCCACCGTTTCCTTTCGTTTTGTGGTGGGAGAAACACACAGAGGCTTGGAATGGCAGCACCCAGATACCTTCCGGGGCCTTTAAGAGCTCCTGAGTGGATCCACTGCCACAGAGCAGATCCAGGCGCTGCCATTCCAAGCCTCTGTGTGTGTGTCTTTGCTCCTGGTCTTTCGCAGCAGCCCATGCACGATGTCCCGTCCCTGGCTGCCCATCTTAAAGAGTGAGTTTAAGAGTTTATTCGATTTCTATACCGCCCTTCTCCTGAAGGACTCATTACAGCCATATTAAAATACATAGATTTATAAAATTTAAACCAATTAAAATCAATATATAAAATTGCCCCGCAAGTTAAAACATACATACACCCATAATAAAAAATCGTATTAGGCCAGTCCAGCTTGCTGGAATAGGAGGGTCTTAAGTGCGCGGCGAAAAGTACGCAGGTCGGGGCTAAGATGGAGCTCCAGGGGCAACTCATTCCAGAGGGCTGGTGCCCCCACAGAGAAGACTCTCCCCCTGGGTGTCGCCAGTTGGCATTGTTTGGCCGATGGCACCCTAAGGAGTCCCTCTCTGTGGGAGCGTATTGGCCGTGGGAGGTTGTTGATGGCAGAAGGCGGTCTCGTAGATACCCCGGTCCTAAGCCATAGAGCTCTCTAAAGGTGGTAACCAACACCTTGAATCGCAGCCGGAAGACCACCGTGAGCCAGTGCAGCTCGCGCAGGAGGGTTGTTATGTGGATGTATAACCACCCACGTGGGCGCATTGTGGACCAGTTGGAGCCTCCAAGTGCTCTTCAAGGGGAGCCCCATGTAGAGAGCATTGCAGTAGTCCAGACGGGACGTCACGAGGGCATGAGTGACTGTGCACACGGCATCCCGGTCCAGAAAGGGACTCAACTGGTACATCAGGCGAACCTGATAGAAAACTCCCCTGGCCATGGCCGTCATATGATCTTCCAAAGACAGCCATGCATTCAGGAGAACACCCAAGTTGTGAGCCCTCTCTGTGGGAGCCAGGATCTCACCAATAGTCAGCAATGGAGCCATCTGACTATACTGGGACGCCGGAAGCCACAGCCACTTGGTCTTGGAAGGGTTGAGCTTGAGCTTGTTTCTCCCCATCCAGATCCGCACGGCCTCCAGGCACTGGGACATCATGTCAAGGGCATCAATGGGGTGGTTCGGGATGGAGATGTACAGCTGAGTAACATCAGCGTACTGATGGAACCTCACCCCAAAACCACAGATGATCTCACCCATTGGCTTCACAGAAATATTGAACAAAAGGGGCGAGAGGACTGACCCTTGCGGCACCCCACATACAAGGTGCCTTGAGGTCGCCCTCTGCCCCCCTGCCAAGACAAACTGCATACGGTCGGAGAGGAAGGAGAACCACCGCAACATGGTGCCCCCCACTCCTAACCCCTCCAATCGTCGCAGCATGATACCATGGTCGATGGTATCAAAAGCTGTTGAGAGATCTAATAGGACCAGGACAGAGGAGCAACCCCTGTCCCGAGCCCTCCAGAGATCATCAACCAATGTGACCAATGTCATTTCTGTGCTGTGCCCAGGCCTGAAGCCCGACTGGAACGGATCTAGATAATCAGCTTCATCCAGGTATTGGGGAAGTTGTCGCGCCACCACTCTCAACAACCTTCGCCACAAAGCGAAGGCTGGAGACAGGGCGATAATTAGCTAGTACAGCCGGGTCCAGGGAAGGCTTCTTGAGGAGAGGCCTCACCACCGCCTCTTTCAAAGAGGGGGGAAGTAGCCCTCACTCAAAAGAAGCGTTAATAATCCCCTGGAGCCAGCCTCGTGTAACCTCCCAGGAGGCCAGCACCAACCAGGAGGGACATGGATCCAATAAACATGTGGCTTAAAGGAACTTCGCTCTGCCCCCGCTGCCCCGGGAAGGGGAGTGGGCACCTTGGAGGTTCTAGCTGCCCCAGAGACCCCTGACTGGCCTGCCCAGGAGGCGCAACAGGTGAGGCAGTGGTTGCCCCCGGCAGGTTTGAAATGGCAGCGCCCAGATCTGCTCCGGGGCCTTTAAAAGCAGCAGAAATCAGCTGTCACGTCGCACGTCGCACGACCCCCAAGGCAGCCCCCCCAAGCAGACCCACCGCCCAAGGAGCGCGATCTGGGGGCAGCTTCAGCCAGCCCAGCCCAGGAAAGGCCAGAAGGGGTGAATTCCCGAACTCCGGTTCAGCCAGCTGGGGATGAGACATCAGACACAGGCTGCTACGAAAGACCAGAAGCAAACACACACACATCGGTACTGGTGAGGTTTTTAGCGAGCAGCGCAGGAAGCCAGACTTGCCTTCATAGGTACAAAAGTTTCCTACAAATGGAGAAACGGCAGGAGCAAGTAAGCGCTTCTTTTTGCACTTGCTCCTGGCGTTTTTCCACTTGGAGAGGAGGAGGAGGAAGACGACGAGGGCAACAATCCTGGGCGTGTGAAGCAAGGCATGAAAATCCGCAGCAGGAAGCTCAGGGTGAATGAAAAGGGGGAGCAGCCAAGTACTTTGTTTCTCCAGAACTAATAGAAAAAAATGCTTAAAAAGTAAAAAAAAAAAAAAAAAAAAATTCTCACGATTGTGCATCACTCAGCTGATCGTCGGAACTTTTTTTTTAACTTTTTAAGCATTTTTTTACTACTGGTTCTCTGGAAGTAAAAGCAGGAAGTAACGACGACTGGGTGGGTGGGCGGAGCCTCGAGTTGCCATTGCTACCGGTTCTCCGAACCACTGGCCATCATCGCTGCCTACTCGCCCGAGCCAGTCCGAACTGGGAGTATTTCACCCTGCTCTACTGCGAAGGAAACATGATTTCTTTCAAGCATTCCCAATTGTAATCTTCATCCCTTTAGCTGCTGAATTTCATAGAATTAAACAAAAACAAATCAGAACAATTGTCCTGGCCGTTTCTCTATAACCCACCATCAATGAAGAGAAGTTGAAGTATCTTTAGGAACACAAATTGCCAAACTGATTTCTCCTTTTCATCACTCCTTATGGGCCTGTAAAGTGACAAAAGTTCTAAAATGTAGCAGAAAATTTAAGGGCAAAATATTCAGGCGACTTAATGTTGAATCCTCCTTTTAACATTTTCATAAAGCCCCATGTGACACAGCCGTAAGATGTATATGACAGAGGATGGAATTTGATAGAGTCTGTATACCTCTAGCATTCAAGACATTAACATTCTTGGGAAGAAGAAATCTCATTCCAACCAGTTTAAGGAAAACAACCATCTTCACTGGGTTCAATTTTTGCTCTTTGTTGTTCTGCATTGCCTTCTTAGGCTGGTGAAAAGCTCTGTTGCAATGAAGCCACTTTCCAACACCGCAGACAAGTTCTTCCACTGATCTGCAACCCATTTTATTCGATATTTAATTCTAATACACGTTGAAAACTTTCAGGATAGCAATTAAGGCAGTTGAAGCATATTTCATTATAAAAGATCAAGAGTTTATTTCCAAGAGAACAGTCTCTTCTACACATGATATTGCCTTTAAAATGCCCACTCCCTCGAAAACACCCAAGTCTTCCAGATGTCCCAGAAAATATAAAGCATGCATCTGTTTCCAAAACTAGGACTA